GTAAACTGAATCACTGGCCTTTTTACAACTTCTATAGACAACTCACTATTTTGCTATGCTAATGAGTTGTTTTTCAGTGACTTTGCTGTACCAGTTCCCATCTGTGTTCTGATTTGAACATTTGCAATACTTGAACAATCGATTCAAGCTTTTAGAGGGAGGTATTACTGTAATCTGCTAACCTTTTTTCACCTTAGGTTTCCTTTGCTAGGCAGTAATTCAAAGCATGGGAACGTTTGAGTTACTCAAGACAGATAGAAATGTGAAAGTTCCTCTTTCTCCTTTTAATATGCAGTTAGGTATAACCCTTATGTTAACCATCCAGATACCTGGGGACTGTAATTATTCAGTAACAGTTCTGAAGCAAAGAACAGAAAACAGAGTGAAAAGAAAGCAGCTCAGCACAACTGGATGTAGAAATTTGTGCATGGACTTTGTAAAATAAGGGAAAGATGCCTCTGAATGTTAGAGGGCAAATGCCTGCTGGGTAATGGGAAAAATATTTTCTTTTCAGTAATGAGACCATCCTTTGAGGTTGGGGAGAAAAACCCCACTCCTATGAATTGTCTTCCATTTGTTCCTTGCCTGTGTAGGCTGATTGGTAACCTTTTAAAGGGATATCTTGGAAAATGTGTTGTTTTATAGCAAAGTGCTTTATCCATGTTCTGACTTGGGCTATGGGCTACATGCTGGTGCCTTCTGATTTTTAAATTACCTTTCTTTGTATTAAATACATTTTGTATATGTTGTACATTTTTTCTCCAAAACAAATTTGAAATTGTCAGGACTAAGAGGTTTCTTTCTTTATATATATATATAAATATATTCATACTATTTCTACTAATAAAAGACCTGGAAGATTTGCAAAAGATCCAAGATTTTTATACAATTCAGCTGACTAAAGCCTCAGAACACCGGAAGTGCTATTTTATACAGATAGAAATGGGAGAGGGAATAATTTAGGTTCAAAATTATTGGAACTGTCTTGTGAGTGACTAAGAAACTTTGTCTTGGTGATTCTTAGTAAAAAACTTTACTAAGGAGAAAAAAAAAGATAAAGTGCCTCTCATGATAAAAGAAACTGATTAGATTAATAAAGTAAGCCAACATCTGGTTAAATGGGGCAAGATTTGGAGTTTCACATTGCTCAAATTTAAAATCACTGTATTTTTGTGACTTTGATAGAACATTTCTGAATAATAATGTGCCAAATAATAATGTAAGACATTATTTAATTTGGTGCTACAGTTTTCTTGCATTCCTAGATAGTATTTTTGGGAGAACTTCTGAAAGTCCTAGTGAAGAGGCTGCCTCTTGTAGCTTTTCTCATAGTCAGTGCTAAGCCCTTTTTCTATTTGTGAACAATATTCAAATACGAAGATCATGATGAAGGTATTGTAAAATGGCTGCTGGCCATATTCCAGGTTTTGGTCCACAATAACTCAAAGGGCTCTAATTTTTTTACACCTTGGAACTTTTTTTGCTTTCTGATTGATACCAGCAATGCCTTATTAATGCAACTAAAACAATGCCACACTTGTACATCCATATCTTGTCAAAAGTATTACTCTAAAAATCGTGTAACAAACCAGTCTATTTATTTTCAGAATATTTTGAATGTGCTTTGGTTTGGTCCAAGAGGGTGTGATGTTCTAGTCTGAGATGTATTTTTAAGTCCAGTTCCTTCTTTTAAAAATGGCTTTCAATGTTAATACAGAAGTTAAAATAATTTTGATCTTATATTGATAAATTTTTAAGACGTTAAAAATTCCAGTTAATTTAATCTTTTATTGGGTCTTTGTCTGTTGCTGGCAATGGAATATGTAGAAATGAAGGCTTCTGTGGATATGTATGTTTTAGTGTTTTTTATAACAGTATGAAAAGGTAGTTCCCTTCAGAATACTTAAAATTCTTAATGTTTATTGTCATAATAAAATGGATTTTAGTAGATAATGAACTGAATTTTAATGATGTTTTTCAAATGACTCAAAAATTTCTTACAATGGAATTAACACAGGAGTTGAAATATGTTGTACACTTATTACTTTGCCTGAAGGTATCCAAGTACTCCAAATTGTGTCTATTTGATATTCTTAAAATGTAATATACAGCTAATATAATAATTAAATTTTGTGCCCATTGTTCATTAAAAAAGATTGAAATGAATTGATGGGAACATTCCATTAGATAAATAAAACAACAAAGTTTTGTTTGTAATTTCAATACTTTGGATTGAACATACGTTACTTGTTTCAGACACAGAAGTAGAAATTACATTAATCAGATTTTCAGGAATAAAATGAATAAATATTGGCTGCTTCATTCAGTCATGAAATACATATTTCTGAAACATAATTAGTGTTGGTCAACTTAAAACATTGAGCCAGATTGAAATTTAAAACTCCATCTTAAAGCAATTTCCTAAATCAAAATACTGTTTTGTGGAAATTGCTGAAGAGAGAGAGGAGATTTTAATTGGATAACTTTATGTATTTGTCACTTTATATGACAAAAAGTTCATGAGTATATGAGTTCATAAACAACTCATCACTTCCATCAAATAACTAAATCAGTTTTTGGATCTTAGGCAAGATTGCCATGTATGTTTGATGGTGTGATACTGTAATGAGAAAACATATTTCATTAATGCAAGGTTATCTGGAATGTTTAGCTCTTATTCTCCCCCCCCCCTTAATGTAAAGTGAAGCATGTTTGGTTTGGGTGGTGTCATTCATCATTTGAAATTACATCCAGTTAACTTAAATTATCAGAGTCAATTCACTTTTCTGTTTGAGTCAATTAAGTGCTGAAGAATTTGTTTTTGTAGCTGGAATTAATGATTTCTTTATTTGTTCCTTTCTTATGTCAGATGGAGATGGAAATAATGCAAGCTTTTAATTTTTTAAATTGTCCTCAAATTTTGTATAATTTAATCTCATTCTGTTATTTAATGTTACCACGATATTAACTACTGTATTGTCTATGTTTAATGATTCTTTCAGGGCTAGAAATAAACATTTTTAAAATGATTGAGAGATCTTTTTTTCACCCAGCACCTTGATTAAATAATAGATCAATCAGATAACATTTGTGTTTACTTGTGTATGGCTTTGGTGATTCATTGGAGCATACTTGCAGTGTCATTTGTCTTCAAAGCTTCCATGACAGTGAACCAGCTGAGACATCTTGGTGCTTAATTTCTTTGCTTAATTTCTCTAGACAAACAGCTATAAACATATTAGAAGAGTGAAAAATATGAATTGATTTGTTGACCATAAATTTCAATTAACAACTGACAGCAGTAATTGAATGTTAATTCAGTAGTTTCCTATACCAGTTTCTTATAACAACCCTAACCAGTGAACTATCACTGCCTATTACTTTAATTGTTTAGATGATTCTTGAACTGATTGCCTTTTGAAAGAGGTGCCAGGGGACATCTTACATTTACTACATTAGGGGTTGGGTTTTTTTGGTAATGAAAGCAATTCTATTTCAAATCTGGTTGAGGCCAGTATTAATCTCATTAATTTTATGCTAATAATTACTGGGAGGGATTTAAAACATAAAAAATATAGATGACACAAAACCAAATGACGCTGAATAGTTTGTCATCTGTATTATGTGAAACTGACATTTTCAAGCTTATCATTGACTTAAGGCTGTAATATTACAGGTAGAAAAGTTACAACAGTTCCTTTAGTGACCGAAGTTACAATGGCACTGAAAAAAAAATGACTTATGACCATTTTTCACGCATTTGTTGCAACATCTCCAAAGTCACATGATCAAAGTTCAGACACTTGGCAACTGGCTCATTTATGATGGTTGCAATTTCTCAGGAACTCACAATATATAATTTATCTGAAGAAAGATAAGACAATGTTCAATGATGTTAATAAGGGCATTTTAAGTTCTGAAGCAAGTTGAAATATTGTAGTAGAGAAGTCATAACAGTGACAAGGAAAGGATCTGTAAACCACCCAGAGTCATCTTGGCAAGATGGGTGGCATAGAACTCTAACAATAAATAAAATAAATCTGGAATTTCCCCTCCATACCAATGAGATTTTAAACTCGCATCCATTGTTAGCGTTTCCCTATGTGTGATCTGAACGTTCCTCAATTGCACAATCAAGCAAATACATGCAGAAGTCTCCATACCCTTCCTCAGGTTACAAAAAGAAGAAAGAGGACATTATTCATGGGACAGTAGAGAAAAAAGCTTGATAAAGTTGGAAGGAAAATGTAGAAGGAAAAACTTGCAATGTCTTGATTGTAACAATAAGAACAACTATGGGTGTCACTCTGATAATGGTTAGTCACTAACTGAAGATAACACTTTTCAAGACAATAGCAATAGCAGTTAGACTTATATACCGCTTCATAGGGCTTTCAGCCCTCTCTAAGCGGTTTATAGAGTCAGCATATTGCCCCCAACAATCCGGGTCCTCATTTTACCCACCTCGGAAGGATGGAAGGCTGAGTCAACCTTGAGCCGGTGAGATTTGAACAGCCGAACTGCAGAACTGCAGTCAGCTGAAGTAGCCTGCAGTGCTGCATTTAACCACTGCGCCACCTCGGCTTTAGACAACTGTCTAGATTGCAATTATACATTTTTGTAGTTTAAACTATAAATTGCGCAAAATTATGTTTTTGTCGAAGTGACACACAGCGCGAGTTATGCTCGATTTTTTGCCGATTTTTGACACACCACGCCAAAAAGGTTGCCCATCACTGGTCTAGAGGGCTGCCATGAAGCAACATTGACTTGAAGGCAATTGATAACAGTAGTAGGAAAAGCCACTATCTCTAGACAGTTAAAAATAGGCTTTTGAATTCAAGAATCTTAACTGCTTTGCCCTTGGAGTCACCTGCTGGTTTCACTGGATTCTGAACCAATTCCAAGCTGCAGCTTATTAATGTTTTCTCTTAGAGGAAAAGGCTTGGGTAGAGTTTCTAGGGATGGAAAAGGACTTAAGTGGGGTTTACTGGAAAAGAAGACCAAAGGTGAAATTCTGGTTAGAGCAGTTGTGAAGTGATAAGGGAGCAACATTCTATCTGAGCCAGTTTCTCCATGGTGTTAAATACGTTCATTTTCCCAGACAATTCTGTTACCCTATTAATCTGGTACCTATCAAACTATGCCACGTTTTCTTAAATATGCTTTTAAGGGAAGATTAATAGTTTCTCCTCCCCTCTCATGCAGTGAAGATTTTTTTTGGAGTGAGAACATACTACCTCTCCAGTGTATTTACCAGAATGTCTGGACTAAACGTCTCAATCATTTTTTTCTTCTCAGTTGTAACTCTTTGTGAATTTGCTAGGCGATTCTTCAAGAGAATTTTTCCATCTAAGGTGTATTTTTGTCTTGCTGGTGAATTAGCCAATTCCTTCCAGCTATGTGCTTGCTATCTTGAATTGAAGATGCTAAGGGAGATTGGCCCATGGGGTGGTGGCTTTGGCCCAGATGTGAGCCTGACTCTCTTATTCGTTATCTTCTTAGCTCATGGCGCTTCTTTTGATGGAACTGCTGCCAACCCTGTAGCCTCACTTCAGGAATTTCTAGCTTTGGATTGTTCTTTTGTAGGCAGCATTGTTAAAATTTTGGCTCAGTTTCTTGGGATGGAAGCAGCTTGTGCTTTTACCAAGAAGTATTGGTCCAAGGAATTTACTCACTTCCATATGATCCAGAACTTAATGGCCCAGGATTGCAGCTCATCTCTCAATAGCTCTATTTCCCAGGGCATTTTTGTAGAAGCCATGGGTTCCTTTCTTTTACAGTTAATTATTCTCAAGCTTCACACCTGCTCTCCAATGTACAGAGTTCCTATTGTGGCCCTCAGTATCACTGCCTTGACCTATACAGGTAAGGATTGCTATCCAATCTTGCTTTGATGTACATTGAGAAACTAAAACAACTATTTAATACTTGCAGTGCTTCTACATACCTATGGCATGCAATTAAATATGTTTCAATGCTTACATTCTATTTACATCAGCATGATTATTATAACCTGCCTTTCCTACTTCAGAAGTGATGAAAAATGGAAACAAATCTTGAAGCATTCACTAGAAACTATTTTTCTGTAGACTTATATTTTTACAAAATGCCTCCTGTTTCATTTTAAACCTCTCTTGAAGTCTAATATGTTGCAAAATTTTATATCCCTTGCCTGATAATCATAAAGTTGGAAAAATCGTATTGCAAAGTGAAGGTAGTCAAGGTGCTCTCAAAGATGATTAAGAAGCCAACATGGCAGAGCTGCATGCAAATGTCTTTAGGAATGTAGCCAGATTCCAGCATCAATTAAATGTTGGAAACACATAGGAGAACATGCAGCAAGGCTCTTAAACCTGTGTTTAAGCCAAGTGTAAGAGATGAGCAGGTTGAGCCCAAAGGTGGGATCAAACACATCATCAGATTGGAGCTGCTGTGCTCCCACCAGAGACCCAAATACTACTAATAATAATCTTCTACTACTACTACTACTACTACTACTACTACTACTACTACTACTACTACTACTACTACTACTACTACTACTACTACTACTACTACTACTACTACTACTATACACACACAAACACAGACACTTCTGATGACCCTTATCTAGTGCCAATTTGGCTTGATTATTAGTAGATCAGATATCTAATAAACATGTTGTGCTCCTGTTCCTGGATACTTGCACCTGACACTAAGTGGCTCATGACTTCTATAATTTTTGTATTGCATCTGGAAAATAATTGTTGCTGTAAATTTTTGTGTGATGTGCAGTACGGTATTTGTATGATTCTGAACAAGGTGGACGTGAGTGTTAATTGTTTAACATGTAGAACATCACTGAATTAAGAAAACAAGACGTGAGATAATTCTTAGATGAGTATTTTATTTCACATAACATTTAAATGAGATTTGTCTTTAAGGTTGGCTGATTTTCTAAATATAGATTAAAAGGTTGCTTTCCAGCTACCTGAAAATATTTTATTAAACTTCTAACTCAATTGTATGCAATCAGAAATATTTGCTTCTAATCACTTTCCTGGTAGATATGCGAAATAAAATGGCATTTGTGCTAATCAACTGAGTATTGGGATGTTGCTCTTTGAGGGGAGTTTATGTGAGGATCCATTGTATTGTTGAATTCTTGCCAGGTGGTGGTTCAGACTCTGAAGTAAAATGGGAATCCCAAATAAGAGGAGAGGTGTTAAAATCTCTCACACCTAGATGGTGCTTCTCAACCTCAGCAATTTTAAGATGTGTGGACTTCCAATTGCTGGAATTCTGGGAGTACATACATTTTAAAGTTGTTGAGGTTGAGAAATGATGCTCTAGATCAGTGTTTCTCAACCTTGGCAACTTGAAGATGTCTGGACTTCAACTCCCAGAATTCTGGGAGTTGAAGTCCAGACATCTTCAAGTTGCCAAGGTTGAGAAACACTGCTCTAGATTGACCTACTGTTCCCAGATGCTGTTCCTTTAAAAAAAAAAAAAAAGGAAATATTCAGTAGTTAGGGTGGAGTCCTCCTGTCTTTTAACTTTTGCTCCAATTTGAACATATTGAATCTGATTAACGGGGGCACATGTTCCTACATGCACCAGACTAAGAAGAATAGGTGGATTAAACTGTTTGCTTTTCCTCTGCTGCAGCTGCACCTGTCACAGGTGCCTTTTTTAACCCTGCCTTGGCCTCTGCTATGACCTTTTCCTGCTCAGGAAACAGTTTACTGGAGTATATGCAAGTTTATTGGCTGGCACCCATCTCAGGTGAGGCTCTTCCCAAAGACTTCAGGAATTGTAGCAGTTATTGTAACAATATTTGAATTCATTTAAAGGAACTGTAATGTTCAAACTAAATACAGGTAATCTTCACTTAATATCACCTGTTCCATGAATATTCAAACTTGCAATAGCTCTAAATGAGTGGTACTTACAACGGGTCCTCAAAATTCTGGCTGTTGCAGCATTCATATTTGCTATCTTTATTGCCAGATTCCAACAAGCAAAGTCAGTGGAGAAGCTGGTGGTGAAATTGTGCCCTGCCTGTTATACTGCCCAACCAAGTGGCCTTCCTTCCTTCCACCAGCATGACTACCTGGGGCCATGTTGCATTTTATTCCCTTCTCGTAGTGGTAGAGCTACGCCTTTCCTATGTATTCTTGCTTCCCTGCATCAAAGCAGCTTGAAGTAGAACAGAACAAACTGCAACAGCCCTGACTTTGCCCTTCTTCCAGCGTTATGCCCTGCACTGGGCTTCCTGAAAGCTGAGACAGGCTTTCCAGATCGCCAGGGTGGCTCACTCTATATCTGCATCTTCCACTGTGCTACTTCTGCTGTTTTAGACCTGAATCCTCAACCACACACAGTGTTACTGGCTAGGGGGATTTGCAGAGAATATCTCCTGGCTCCTGGGTTCTAAGCAGCCAAGATAAGTTTCCAATTCCATTCCTTCCCCTCTGGCTCTTTGGCTACCAATTCAGCTCTAGATATGCCTTGGCCAGCACTTAGCAAGCATGTCTAAATTGGTTCCAGCCCTCCTACAGTTCTCCCTCTTCCTCTTGCTAACTTGCTACACCATCACAATAAGATGCCAGGGTCAGTGGCAGAGGGGAACGCAGTGATAAGTGGCTGATTTCCTAAGTATTTTGTGAGTGTCCCAGGGATGGGCTGGCCGGCAAGGTGAGTGGTGAGAGTTGTGCTTAATAATTGTCTGAGATTCGCTTAATGACCAAAACCATGTTGGTTCATGAAAACAAATTATTCACCTATCTAGGAAGCTTATAGAGGTTAACAAAGAAAAGAATAATTTTAATTAACTGAGAAAAGAAAGTAGTTCCATTTTCCCTTATGGAAATAAATTTGCATATGTTTTAATAAAAATAATATGGAGAAAATTCTGGAATCAAAATAATATATCATTAAGACAAATTAAAATTGTTGTACTGTTAATAGTTGGAACCCAGGCCTGAATTGTTTGAAAGTACTGCATTAAACAAGTATATAACTTCAAGTTAAATTGTAACCATCCAAAAGCTTAATTCTGACCTTCTATAGCAGCACACCTTGTGAAAGGCGAACCTTAAGCCTCTAATACAAATGCATAGTTATGGGATAGCAATAATTATCAACATTAAAAGAAAACTTACTGCAGGGATCCTTGCCAGAATTGGGGACACACATTCACTCACAGAATGATCTGTTCTCCCCATCTCTCCATTTCCTGATCATCTTTTTTTCATTGATATACAGAAGCATGCTAATTAAATAGTAGTAGTATTCTGTTTATATAATCCTTTTGAATACTCTTGCTTCTTAATTGTTAAAATACTGTTAAAGGAAGACTATATATAACCAAAGCAACACATTTTTTGGGGAAATGGCAGAACAAAAATCCATTTTTCTTTCTTGAGTTTTTGGGGGCTTGCTCTTCTTTAGCAGTTAGACTTATATACCGCTTCATAGGGCTTTCAGCCCTCTCTAAGCGGTTTACAGAGTCAGCATATTGCCCCCAACAACAATCCAGGTCCTCATTTTACCCACCTCCGAAGGATGGAAGGCTGAGTCAACCCTGAGCCGGTGAGATTTGAACAGCCGAACTGCAGAACTGCAGTCAGCTGAAGTAACCTGCAGTGCTGCATTTAACCACTGTGCCACCTCGGCTCTAATTCTTTTGTTCCAGTGTGAGAAAAATACTTGAAGCCTGGTCAACCATGCAGATTTTTTCCCCTAGCTTTTTCTTTCCAATAATTTGTTCAGGGTTTCAGCAGAACCTGTGTTGGGGACTGTATAAGTTTGCATAAAGAAAAAAAAGATGCATTCCCTGGTGGAATAGTTTTATATTTTTTTCCCAAGGCTGTCTTAAAACATATTACTTTTGTGAAAAAAATACTTTCTTTCCCACTCTGTGTGTAGAAGCAAACTGAGCTGGCACCTGAATCTTATTTCAACAATGATGCTAGGATAGTATCTCTCATTGTATGAGCAGCAGACCAGGTTTCAGTTATCAGCCGGTTCATCATTCAGCACGTCACTGTTCTGTAACCTGTGCCATCTACTGGTCTTGACCCCTACTCATTCTTGTCTCAAAGAGAAAAAGACGTAAATCATAGCAAATCAAATAGATGAAAATTTCCTGTTGCTGTTTTCCCCCCTGCAGGAATGCTGTTAGCCCTCTTTGTCTATCAAGGAAATATTCCACGCTTGTTCCAGACAAACCTGCTTTATAGTCAAAAGAAAAAATACAGAATATTTAAAGGGAAAGTAACGTCAAATTCTGTTGCTGAAGAAAGGCAGACAAAAACAGAGAAGAAGAACAGCCGTTCTGGACTGATTAACTGAACAGAGCAAAGGGGATTAAAACTGCTGGATGGAAGGCAAAAGCTACTTTTCTGTGTAAATGGCAAATGAGGCTAAGAAAGAGCAGTTCACATGATATTATGATGTTCCCAAAACTGACCTTTAAATTTGTCAAATTTCAATTCTCATAATTTCTAGCCAGCATGAAATGTGTACTATGACTTTTAATTGTGGGAGTTCTAGTGCAACATATTAACCAGCAGAAAATTGATGAAGAGTGTACTATTAGATGCAGGAAATAACAGCCTTTCATCAACTGTTACAATTTGCATTCATTATTCAAATAGGAGTTTAATGCTATATGTTGAGGCCATCTTCTGAAGAAAGTGGCTATTCCTAGGTAGCGGGGGTGTTCTTCAAACTATGGTATGCTTTTGAACAGATAAATATCTTTTTATCTGCCATGGTATGGCATAGGGTATGGCTTGAAATAAATAGTGAAATTTTAACACTTTTTCAATGTATTAATAAATTTCATGTGGAATTGCACTTGTGATTTCCTTTGAAAAAGTAAAATGTTACATGAGATAAAATGTTATATGGGCCTTCTTTTCAGACTCTTCTTGAAATTTAATTAATACAAGCAGCAATCTGGGTTACTTTAATGCAGTTACCCCTATCTGATGGTCAAAATAATGTGGCTATCATTTCTTATTTCTTATTATGCGTATTTCTGATATGTGCATAATAAGCATATAGAATACAATTGTGCTATATTCTCCAAGGTTCTCTTTTGGTGATGTATGAAATATCCCAGTAGTGGGTTTCAAAAATTGTTGGAACCTACTCTGTGGGTGTGGCCTCCTTTGTGGGAGTGGTTTGCCACCCATGTGACTGGATGGGAGTGGCTTGCTGCCCATGTGACCAGATATGAAATTATGTATTAGTACTTAGGTCGGTCCAAGTAGCTATTCAGAAGTTAGTGGTTAGAAGCAATCATAAAGCAAGATTTGGAATTAAAACCAGAAATATTTTGTTGGCTATTTGAAAGGGAGTATAATATATATTTAATTTTACACATGTTAGCAGCTGCTGGAATTGTGTTTGCACAACAGTGGAAAAACAGAGATATGTAAATGAATAAATATTACAATGTGCAGGAATAAATAAATTGACAAAATCAAGAAGACTTTGAATACTTTTTCACGTGGGATTGGTTTTAGCAATTGCCAACTAATGGAAACAGAAATTAGAAATCCAAAAGTATGAAAGAAAACACCAATTATGTAAGGAAAGGTCCCTAAAATGTATAAGGAAATATTACTAGATCATTATTAATGCGTAGATAACTGCGGGACATTACACACCCACCAGTGGTGGTTTCAAAATTTTTTGGAACCTCTTCTGTAGCTGTGGCCTGCTTTCCGGGTCCACTGGTGGAACCTCTTCTAACTGGTTCAGTAGATTTGACTAACCAGTTCTACCGAATAGGTGCGAACTGGTAGGAACCCACCTCTGAAATATCCTTAGTCAAATATTAATACTCAAGGGCAAACAATACAGTGATAAAAGATGCCTGGAGCTGAGTAATAAGAGTACTAGAATGGTATCCTTTTTGAAGAATTTGGCTTCCCCATTGAGTTACCTTGGCAGAACGCTGCAAAAGGGGAATCACATGACCGCAGGATATTGCAATAATCACAAAAATGAATCAGCTGCAAAGCATATGAATTCTAATCACGTGACCATGGGGATGCTGCAATGCTCCTAAGTGAAAATGGTCCTCATTTTTTTCAGTGCCATTATAACTTCAGTCATTGAATGAACTGTTGTAAGTCAGGGATTACCTGTAAATGTTTTAAATAAATAAATAAAAACTGAACTAAAATATGGCTGCTCCTAATGCTTATTGTTTAGTTTCAACTACCTTGATATGTGTTTTGAATGGGAAGTGATAAACAGCATAAACATAAAACAGTGCCAAGCAGAAGAGAACAAAAGAGCCAGCCTGCAGTTTTTAATTTCTATCTGGGTCCCAGGAAGAATCTCTTGATTTCAAGGTTTATCTCAAAAGCCCCTTTGACACTTAATTATTGTGTTTGGTGCCAACGGAAACAGGTTTATTGCAGGTTAAGGAGATATGATTGAGAAAGGCGTCAGAGATTCTGATAGACTGAGGTTAGAGATTATGATCTAGTTTGAATGCTCAAAGGAATTGCATTATGTTACCCATTTGATTAAAAAGAATTATAACTGACTGTTCTGAAATGTGATAACAATCTTTTCTGCCTGTTCCACACACCAGTCTTAAACAATTTCTCTCATTGTCATAGATCTAAATTGTAAGTTAAACAGTAATTCTGTGTTGGTAAATGCCTATCATGAGGCCCATAGAGTATAGAAACTGCAGTTAAGGTCAAATAAACATACAGGACTGTATTGATGTGTCATGCACAACAATATCATTGGGTGCTTGGATGAATTTATTTGTGCAAATGAAATTTATAAATGAATACATATAGGTGGAATAGAATGTGAAGTTAATAGGAAGTATTAGATATGTTTGCCACCTAGAGTTGACCATATATATATAAAAAGGTGACATAAAAAATCTAATAATGACATCATCATCATCAACAACAACAACAATATATAGGAAAACATATAGAATAAATTCAGACTACTGAATTTCATTTACTTTTATCACTATTATGGACATAAATACAAATGCTTGCTTTTGAAATTGGCATAGATTTTCTTAGATCAGAATTCCCCAGTCAGCCATACTGGGAGTTGAGGTCCACACATCTTAAAATTGCCAAGGTTGGGGAATCCTACTTTAGATATAAATACATACATAACTTGCCATACCTGCCAGCAACAAATTTTCCATGTTACCACTATTTATTCCTGTTTTCTACTTCTTCCTCTTTTCTATATGAGACTTGTATATATGTAGGTAATTATGGAAGAATTTGTATGGATTCATTTCTGTGTATTTTTCCTTCAAACAATCTTGAGAATCAGTTGAGACATTATGTCTATAGCCCCAACATACCATTCAAAGAATAATGTAGTTCTTGGATCTTGGTCCAACAAAACATTCAGTCTGTAATCTTTTCATAACCTTTTGGAAAATGGACAGTTACATATATATAATGGAAAATACTAATCTGAAACCAAAAATAGCTGAGATTTTTGTATCTTCCTCATGGTCACCTAAGGAGGTGACATTCCAAGTTCAAATACAGAGAATCAGAATCCTGAAGATTCAGTAAACTATACTTTACTATCTCTAAGACTACCTCCAAGGTGTTCTTTTTTCTCATCACCAAGATAGAATAAATGTAAGTTAATAAAAAAGTGCTACCTCTATGGCAAATTATCCCCTTCCTTCACTTTCAGAAGGAAGCTGGCAAAATGGCTACCCTAACATGAAGAAAATGATGGCTTCTGTTGCAACCTACGCCAATTGCTCCTTTAAATTTTCTTGTATGGGAATGGAAATCCTGACTTCAACATTAATAGTTCCAAGCAAGAAGAAACAAACTAAGAAAACCTTTGGTTACTTACTACATGAGGAACTATTGTCTCAGAGAGAATAGGCATTAGAAATAAATAAATAAATTTAAAAAAAAGAGTTGTGAGCTGTGTCTGATGAAAGCTACATTCTGATAGCGGAAAAAAGAACAATACACTTAATGCAGGAAAAATGCCCATCCATCACTAACACCCATAAAAGTTCTTGCATTACGTAACTTAAGACTTTCCCTTATGGAAAGTGTCGTAATGAGAAATAGCTCTGCAAATATCCCCAGACTCAGTTTTTATCCTCCACAAATATTTCAATCTGTTTTTCATCTCAGTTGACAAATTGGAGTTCTTGCACCATCAGTCATACAATGGCACTTTGTGCTAAAAAAATATCAGAAGATCATACTTTTAACTAATAAGCACGATAGTTTTTGTGGCAATAAAATAAAACAGAGGCACTTACATCATCCTGTGTCTTTTGGATTTGACACATGATTTGATTAACGGAGCCCAAGAAAGGAAACTGCACCGTTGAAATTAGCCCAAGCTGTTCATAGATAAGGAAGAATTGTCTTTCTTCTCAGACAAGTTTATCTTAAAAAAAGTCCACCCACCATAATTGTTTTGGTGGCTGTATAAACAGAATCAGTATTTTTATTGTGAGCTAGTCTTGCCTTAAGTTGGCATAAACCATGGACTGCCTGGAATTCTCCATTTTATTAATGAAGCATTACTAATGGGGAAAAAAAGCTACAAATACAAATATAGATTGGGGGTAGAGAGATTCATTCAGTGACCTCATCTCTCTCTCTCTTTAGTTAATATCTGATTGAATGCCTCGTTTTAAGAAAAGTGGCAAATAGTAGCATTCTTAATTCCTCCACGCAGACTCTGTTAATGATTCATTTAGAATTTGACTAGCTAGAAAATCTTCCAGACATTAAAAAAAAAAGAATTTGTTACATAGTGCCATCTACTGGGCTCAATGCAGAAGAACCTTTTCAGTATTTCTGCATTGAATTTCATTTTGTTTTGCTTCTTTCTTAGAAAATGAGAATGAGACAAAAATACTATTTGGGTTCACACCATACCTTACTAGTTTGAAATGGCTGGGGTAATTTGTGGCTCCACATCTAATTCTATGTGAACCAGTTTTCTTCCCAAAGTTCAAAAGAGAAATTTTATTTCTTGTTAATGTGAATTCAGCAATTGTAATTTGGAAACCTGAATATAGAGCCAAGGTGGCGCAGTGGTTAAATGCAGCACTGCAGGCTACTGCTAGATCAGCAGGTCAGCGGTTCAAATCTCACCGGCTCAGGGTTGACTCAGCCTTCCATCCTTCCGAGGTAGGTAAAATGAGGACCCAGATTGTTGGGGGCAATATGCTGACTCTCTGTAAACCGCTTAGAGAGGCCTGAAAGGTCTATGAAGCGGTATATAAGTCTACTGCTATTGCTATTGCTATTGCTATAAAGCTATTGATTGAGGTTAAATCCAGTCCGTGTCTT